GGGTCGAACAATTGCCGCATACCCATTGTCAGCAATAGCTGGCCATGCCCAAAAAGCCACGCATTTGTTTTTTTGTGGTTGGTTTGGGTACCTGGAGAATGACTTGTCCTCGTGAAGAGGACAAGTGCCTCTCTCCAGCTGAAATATCATGTCCCAAATAATGGACTCTGGGTAAACAGAGCAGTAACTTAGATTTGGAAGCTTTATGACCCTTTTAGGCTAAAGCCTGCAATAACACAAGGGAATCAGTTTTAGAGGCTTCCAAAGAAGTAGAAGCTAATAATAGATCATCTACATACTGGATCAGAGTTGATCCCATTGGGAACTCAACATCGTCCAAATCCTTTCTAAGAATTTGAGAAAATAAGGTGGGTGACTCAGTATAGCTTTGTGGCAGTCTGGTCCAAGTATATTGAAGCCCTTGATAAGTAAACGCAAATAAATACTGACTATCTTTATGAATAGGAATGGAAAAGAAAGCAGAACAAAGATCAATAATCGTAAAATAATTAGCAGTGGGGGAAATACAGGAAAGAATAGTCGCGGGGTTAGGGACAACGGGGAAGATAGGGTGGACAGCAGCATTTACAGCATGAAGATCCTGGACAAAATGCCAAGTCTGTTTGCCAGGTTTTTTCACTGGTAAAATAGGAGAGTTGCATTCACTAACCGTTGGTACAATAACTTCTTGCTGTATTAAGGAGGTAATTACAGGACGAATTCCCTCTTCAGCTTGTTTTGACAGAGGGTATTGTGGTACTCGGGGAAGGAGTTTTGCTGGGTTTAAACGAATTTTCACCGGCTGGGCAGACCCAATGCACCCAACTTGGTTGGCATGATCGGCCCACAATGAAGGGGGAACCTGAGCCAGCAGTTCCTGTTGCAACGAGGAAGGACTGGGGTCGGTTTCCTTCCTTGAAATGGGCTCCTGTAAAACTGGCAGGACCTCATTGTGGGCAGGATCGGGCACGTCCAAATACACACCCTCAGGGGTACAGTATAGTGTAGTTTAGCTTACACAGCAAATCCTTCCCTAAGAGGTTAACTGGCGAACATGGGCTATGAAGGAATGCATGATAGTCAGAAAGAGGACCGATAGAAATGGACAGAGGTGAAGAGACAGGGTGAGGAATAGGGGTATTGCCCACTGCTACTGCATTTATGATTTCAGAGGTTATTGAGAGAGAAGGAAACTCACAGGCACGGAGTGTGGACCGTGAAGCACCGGTATCTATTGAACAGGAGGTAGGGGTGCCATTTATTACACAAGAGACATTAGGACCCGTCTGATCTAAAGGAATAAGCGGAGCGATGATGCTACTAGTCTCCTGGCTCTCCTAATAGTCTTCAGACAACAAGGGAGCTGTGGTGGTGGGCCCGATTGTATTTGTGCCGAGGCTGGGTATGTAGATTGGCCAGGGCAATATGGACATTCGCGTTTCCAGTGGCCCTCCTTTTTGCATAATGACATGTGCCAATTCGCTGCTCTTGGAAAGGTGGTTGACAGGGACTTTGGTTTGGTCTTCCTCCCCTACCTTGCTTAGGGTGGCCACCACGGAACCCTTGCATGCTTTGAATCTGGAGGGCCATTAACTTAGTTTCAGTATCATCCTTTTTCTTTTCTAACTGGCGATGGTAATGTTGTGCAGCTGCTAAGATTCCATCCAGATCCTTTCCTTCCCAATCTACTATCCCAACTTTTAATTGGTCACCCAACTTTGGGATAAGACCTTGCACAAAAGCAGCTACCACTGCTTGTTTAGCAGTGTCTTCTGCATTATTTACGCTGGAATGTCTTTCAAAAACTTGTTTAAGGCGCTCCATATAATCAGCAGGGTTTTCCCCTTTGTTTTGTTTGCAAGCATTAATTTTAGTCCAGTCCATTCTTTTTGGACATACGGTAAGGACTTCATTTAACAAATTGTTTCTATGCATAACTAAATTATCATGACTGAGATCTTGGTCAGTATCGGGCCAATTGGCCTTTTTATACAGACGATCCAGCGTTTCCCTGGGCAACATTGCTCTTAAGAGTTGATCCATGTCTGCCCAGGAGGGGTAATAGCAACGAATGACCATCCTCAGTTGTTCCTGAAATTTAACTGCGTCTTCCCTTATTTTTGGAAGTTTATCAATTAGGTTATATTAATCCCCGGGAGTTCATGGTGCATGCACAGTCACCATGATCCCTTGTCCTTGATCATTCACTCCTCCTGGGAGTTGATGCAGGGGGTGTATCGGGATCATCTCAGGGGATGTTTCTTGGATCCCTCTAAGGACCTTCTGTAACCTAGTGTGGGTTGCTGGGGGTGAATTTATAACCTCGGGGGATTTCACGCATTCTTTTAAAATTTTGAATTGAGCAGACAAGCATCGGATTGGTTCTTCTTCTAGGACTGGGGAATTTCCTCTAAGTTCAGTTATTAACTGATCAGCTCGTCTAGTCAATTTGACAATTTGAGCTTCCTGAGAAGCCGAAGATGATGGGGAAGAAGTCGAGGGCCCCGATGAGGGTGAGGTTAATACTTGTGACTGGGAGTCCTGGGAGGTGGAATCATCTCTGTATACTGGGGGCGGGGTGGCAGGTCTTTGAACAATGGGCCCCCTTCCAGCCTCTGCTGTTCCAGCCTGATGGGGTCACGCTAGTGCCTGACCGAGCGGCCGAGGGGCAGGCCACTGTCTACATTCTACAAATAAATCAATAAGCTCGTCAGACGGAACTGAGGGGGTACTTCCAAGGGGCTGAACCTCTTGTTGGGGCCTTGATGGATAAAGCTGTGTTATCATTTGCTGGCCAGCGGAGTTTTGGGCAAGGGTCAATTTTTCCTTTGTTTCTTTCAGTTGGAGTTTAAGTTTCTCTTGGGAGTCCCTAAGACTCCTCATACGAGATTCATGGCATCGTTTTTCGGTTTCCTCATACCAATTAAAATAAGCATCGAACTGGGCCTGCGGTACGACATTGGCAAGAAGCGCGCCTCTGAGGTGTACAATCTTGTCAAGGTCGAAACTACAGCCTAAAGGAAACTGTAATTTAGGATCATCTCTTGTATGCCAATTCCATTTTTTCAAAAACTTACAAGTGAGAGGACCATAATTCAAATACATGTAAGCTGCAGGTGTGCCCTTTGGCGGGATGGGGATTCCTTTTGACTCACTGCCCCCCATATTTTTTTATGGGCAATTTATGCACAGACAGACAAATAGATAAACATAAACCAGGTGTGCCCTGTCACAGCCGTTGAATTTCCTGGCAGGGCGGCGCTCCCGTTGAGCCCGCTGCCCCAGGACCCAATACTTTCACACAGGTCGTTGGCACAGGAAAGGCTTGTTTAGGTATGTCCACAACTGTCTACAACCCCATCCAGCAAAGAGCATCAGCTAGTTTCAGAGAGAACGACGCCGCTTACTCTATCGCTTTGGTGGGGCGTTTGGACCCGTCAGTGGCTCTTCAGATCGCCGTTTACTGGAGGAGGAGGGAAACCAGAGGGAAAGAGGGTGAGGAAACCAGACCGTTCACAGATGGTAAAGGATGGGGGTCACACACTCCTAGACCTGGACAGGCCCCTCGCCGGTCATGCCATGCAGAGGGTCCTTATCCTGATCAGGGTCTTTTACCGACCCTCTAGGGCGCGGTCACAGGGCTTGCGTTCGAGTCACCTCTGGTCACGAGCCCGAAGAATTTCGCAGAAGGCTTGGGGCGTCTTCCTGAGACCCTCACTCACACCGGTCTACCGTCCTTCACTTTCACACTGGCACACAAAACAGTACAGAGGCCTATTTAGCCACTCCCAGTGGCTCTTCCCGGGGAACAGAACAGAAGGGCATCAGGGTTATCTGGTAGTAAAAAGGTTCAGATCCAGCATACAACTCACCCAAACCCAGAGCCTATAGACAGTCCTCCACCGGAACCCAATATAGAGATTTTAAAAGGATCTCTTATGGTCCATGGTCCTCAGGTCTGGGGAAGTCTTCTGTGGATCCCGGACGAGCCCCCAAATTGGTGTGGAAAATCGACCACACGTTGAGTTTGGATCAGATCAGCCTGAGGCTCCTTTATTGATACAAGCGCAGGAGGGTAGCAGCTCTCAGTAGCTGCCCCCCGATAAAAGGAACACACAAGCCTTTTAAAGCTTAAAACCACAGACAAATTACACATACATTTCGTGTTGGAATACAATTGCAAAATTTAACAAAGGTCAAAAGCAAAAAGACACAATCATCTCCCTTATTTGGCTTTTCCTGTTATTTAGGGTTACCATATTTTGTGCCTCCAAATGGAGGACACTCCACGGGGCCCCGGCCCCGCCCCAGCCCCAACTCCGCCCCCTCCCCAAAGTCTCCGCCCCCTCCCCTGCTTCCCGCGAACATTTGATTCGCGGGAAGCCTGAAGCAGGTAA